CCTTGAGCATTCTTTTTTGAAAAATGTGGGCCGGGCGCGGTGGCTCAAGCCTGTAATCCCAGCACTTTGGGAGGCCGAGACGGGCGGATCACGAGGTCAGGAGATCGAGACCATCCTGGCTGACACGGTGAAACCCCGTCTCTACTAAAAATACAAAAACTTAGCCGGGCGAGGTGGCAGGCGCCTGTAGTCCCAGCTACTCGGGAGGCTGAGGCAGGAGAATGGCGTGAACCCGGGAGGCGGAGCTTGCAGTGAGCTGAGATCCGGCCACTGCACTCCAGCCTGGGTGACAGAGCGAGACTCCGTCTCAAAAAAAAAAGAAAAATGTAATCCTGGGTTTTATAGTCTGTAAGGTGATGATAACAACATCTAAAATTACAGATTTGTTATAAGATGAATAATATGGTAGAATGCTAAAACAGTAATTCTACAAAGGTAAGAGATTACTAAAATCTCTTACTCTTTTTGCATATATTTATGATTTAAATGTGTTGTCTTAAAATTTTAAGGAATATTTTATGAAGATTTTATTTTAGTTATATCTTAAATGATTTTCTTACATCTAAATAACCACTAGTACCTAAAAGCAGAATCACATTCTACACTCTTTCATATTTAACATAACTTTTAAATAAACACATTTTTGAATGCTATAATAGAGAATATTGAGATTTGCGTATTTTTAACATATACTGTGGATAATTCATTCATGTGCCACAGTTCCATGCAACTAATACTCTGTTTTACAGAAACAATTGTATAGTTGTACAACAATATGTACATATTTTAAGGTGATAATAAATGGGAATCATTTTGCCACAGCAGTGTTAAAACCTGTGGCCTTCAGTAATGACAGTAAATGAACATGTGATTGAATAACCATTCTTGTTTCTATACAACATGGTGTATAGAAGAATATTTAGCATCAGTCAAATGTCAAGGGAAATCTGTCTTGTCCTCTTAAAAATAATAACCTGGATATAAGTTGTAAAAAATTGTTAAAAACAATCAACAGAATGAAACAACAGCCTACAGACTGGGAATGAGCTGGAAGAGAATAAAATCTAGTATTTCAGCCTATCGGTATAGTAATAGAAAAATATATAACTGCTGAGCAGTATTCAGGAGCAACACTGTAACTTAAATGTAAAACTAAAAAGAAAAAACCAATCTGGAGAATATATTTAAGCTATATACACACAATGTTGCAAACAAATAAGAAATGATATGTATTGAAAATCACATGGACCTTAAATATATTTAAGCTATATACACACAATGTTGCAAACAAATAAGAAATGATATGTATTGAAAATCACGTGGACCTTAAATGCTGCTTCATTTTTATGGTAACTCAGAGAGGTGAAACCAAGTGAAAAAGCACTTAGTCTCCACAGTTGCTTGTGCTCATCCAATAAAGCTGTGGATCCTACTTCAGAAGACTGTGCTTTCAGCAATAAAATCCCCTTTCCATAACAAAAAGTTCAATCATTCGATCTTTTATAATTATGACATAAAATATTACTGTATATACTACAGGTTTAATATGAAATTAGCAATTCCATTCAGAAGAATTGTTTCATAATAACATGAAAACATGTTGAAAGAACAATTAGGTGAAATTTGGAAAACTAGAGAGATTTTTAGAAAGCATAACTGTGTGACATGTGATAGGATCTCTTCTTGTCTCCCCCAAATTTTAGTTAATATCTCCATTCCTCTTCAAAGTTTGATTTAAAAAGTTTATGTTGTCATGCATTTTCATATACTGCCACATGTAAATTCACAAAGTCCAGAAAAGAATCTACCAAAGGCAATGCAAAATTAGTCGTACAACATAATAATCATCTAAATGTTTCAATCTGAGGCATTACTATTCAGTAGCATTTATTAAATAAATTGCAAATATCCAGTAGTTGTAAATTTTCTAACAACATTTTCATCCATTTCAGGTAGCTTAAAAATTATTGGTGACATAATAACATATTATTTAAGAACACAGACTTCATTTTATTTCTTTTTTATTAACATATAATAATTATATGTATTTATGGGATATATATGATATTTTGATACATGCATAGAATGTTTAATGATCAAATTCGATGATATAGTTTGGATGTGTTTCCCCGCCCAAATCTCATGTAAAATTGTATCATTAATGTTAGAGATGGGGCTGGTGGGAGGTGATGGGATCATGGGGTGGATTTCTCATGAGTGGTTTAGTACTCTCCCCTTGGTACTGTCCTCACGATTGTGAGTTCTTGTGAGACCTGGTCATTTAAAAGTGTATGGCACCTCCTCTATCTCTTGCTTCCACTCTGGCCATGTGACATGTCTGCTCCCCCTTCACCTTCCACCATGATTGTAAGTTTCCTGAGGCCTTTCTAGAAGCCAAGCAGATGTCAGCATCATGCTTCCTGTGCAGCCTGAAGAACCGTGAGCCAATTAAACCTCTTTTCTTTTTTTTTTTTTTTATTATTATACTTTGAGTTCTAGGGTACATGTGCATAACGTGAAGGTTTGTTACATATGTATACTTGTGCCATGTTGGTGTGCTGCAGCCATCAACTCGTCAGCACCCATCAACTCGTCATTTACATCAGGTATAACTCCCAATGCAATCCCTCCCCGCTCCCCACTCCCCATGATAGGCCCCGGTGTGTGATGTTCCCCTTCCCGAGTCCAAGTGATCTCATTGTTCAGTTCCCACCTATGAGTGAGAACATGCGGTGTTTGGTTTTCTGTTCTTGTGATAGTTTGCTGAGAATGATGGTTTCCAGCTGCATCCATGTCCCTACAAAGGACACAAACTCATCCTTTTTTATGGCTGCATAGTATTCCATGGTGTATATGTGCCACATTTTCTTAATCCAGTCTGTCACTGATGGACATTTGGGTTGATTCCAAGTCTTTGCTATTGTGAATAGTGCCGCAATAAACATACGTGTGCATGTGTCTTTATAGCAGCATGATTTATAATCCTTTGGGTATATACCCAGTAATGGGATGGCTGGGTCATATGGTACATCTAGTTCTAGATCCTTGAGGAATCGCCATACTGTTTTCCATAATGGTTGAACTAGTTTACAATCCCACCAACAGTGTCCTTCTGAATTTCTTACTTGTGAGTTTCACTTCTGGAAACAAAAGTCAAGTTCTCTAGGTGAACACTGAGTAGCCCCAATCTTCCAGTAAATTTGAAGTGTAGGAAGTTTTCCTCGTTTAAACTCAGAACACCATCCAATCCCTGGGGAGCGTGCCTCTCTGGTCTCCAACCCACCCAGAATTCCAGTTTGAATAGCTCTCAACAGGTGAGTGAGTGGTCAGAGTTCACATGATTGTTTGTGATTGCCTTCTTTACCAGGCCTCCATTGTTAGGCAACTCTTTGCAAGATGGGAAATAGTTGGTACCAGTTGTTTTGGGGGCATTAGCCAAGTCGGAAACTGGACAGAGTTCCACTTGAATGCGCTGCTGCTCTAGTCTGGGTAACTTTACTGTCTATGTATATATCCAAGTACTGCTTGGCACAGTTGAGTTTCTCTTTGGTACATAATTCTGTGCTACTTGTTTTCTCACTCAGTATGATGGTGAAATTTATTCACTTGTAACTCTGTATCCCAAATTCTATCTCTTCTGTTATGTGGCCATGGAGTGTAGGAGGTTGGCTGCTGTCGGCCGCTGCTCCTGTGGCTTTGGCTCCTTCTTGCCCTGCCTGCTGTTCTTTCAGCCTCCATTCCCCACCTATTTTCCACCTCACAGCCACTGTATGATGCTGGACTGCAGGTAAATAGTCACCAACATAGCAGTGTCCAGGCAGCATTCCTCCCAACAGTGCACCCAGGAGGCCCTTCTACCTGGCAGCCTCTAACCTCTCCTCTCCATCCTACAGCCAGCTACATCCTCTGAGGAGAGGCTGGTGGCTCCTTTTTGGCAATGCTGCATCAGTGCAGGGACAGAGAAAGTGACAGAGACAAAGAGGATGGTGAAAAGGACATAGAGCAGTTTAATTTTCTACCATATAAAAAATCTGGAAGAGACCTGGCTAAGGGGAGAGACAGTAACAGCCCCTTAGATGTGGTGGGGGAGGGGACACGGGAAGGGGCTCTGGGGAATGCTGGACAGATTGTGAGAACACAGGGAATTGGGGAGGAGAGAAAGAGGGGACAGAGGACTGCTTGCAGGCTTATTTTGCATCTCACGTGAAAGGACTAGAGAAATGCCTGGAATTTGTGATGGCTTTAATGGTTCACCTTATGTAAATTTCATCTTACTCCTCACTTAGGCTTGCCCATGTTCACCATGGCTCTGACCTCTTTGCTCTCCCTGTCCCCTCTTCAGCTTTAACTCTCACTTGTCAGTGACCAATTGCCCACATAGTTCCCATTTCAGGTTTCTCAGAATGAGTATATGACTTGCTCAGCACATTGCTTGGGGACAGAGCTTCTTCAACGGGAGCCATCTCATGTGTGTTGTTGTCCTATCAGGTGGCTTCACTTCAGTCAAATGAATTCTATTTGGCTGTAGCCTGAGAAGGTTTGTTTGACATGCCACAAAAAAAGCAACCAGAGCATTTTATACTTTCCTGGGGACAAAGAGCAGAGCGGTTGCCTCTGGAAGCCTCTGTGGATATGATATTGGCAGTGTTAAAACATATCCCAAAGCCCCAGCCCAACTCTTGGTCTGCTCTTAAACAATGTCTTTTCACTAGGACAAGCATTAGGTTTTAGAGGGGAACACCAGGGCTGTCTCTCCAAAATGGCTAGGGATTAGAGTCTTTGGTCCTTGAATGCCAAGTACTACATCACTTCGACTTCGCAGTGTTTTTCAGATTGATGATGGGGGAGATCTGGTGTGCAGCATGATCTCACCCTCTGCTCCGTGTCTGAGCACTCCTGCACAGCGTGTTAGGATGAACAGAAGCCCCTTCTAGTGTAACCCAAAAACACCCTGTCAGCAAACACACATCCAACCTAAAGGAGTGAAATGACAGACTCTGTTTTAATGGCTCAAACATGGGAGGAGAGTTTATTGTTCTAATTATATTTAATTTCTCAAAATTCTGGGCAGGCCTCAGCACATAAGCCACATGACTTTTTGTCCAAGGCCATGTCTACCCTGGAGTTGCTTTATGACAGCATCCACAGCCACCTTGACAGGTCGATGTCACTTCTGTGCCTGCCCAGTTGTCTGTTGATTAAAAAGACCAGCACATTTTTGGTGGGCTTCTTGCGTTTGAAGGATTTGTCGGATTTCTTGATGTTCAGTGCGGTCTCTCTGGGGCTGCCTTTCGGGAGTTCTTTATCCATGACTTGTTGACTCCACACAACCTCAGTAAAACAGCGCAACCGAGGAAGCCTGAAAAAGACGATGCATTCTAGGTAATCAAGTGGACCCGACAACCTCTTCCTCACTGGCACAAAACCACACACACACACACACACACACACACAAACACTGCTACTAGCAGTAGTCACAGGAAGCACCAACCATATTGTTTCTTCAATCTGTCTTACACATGGGTTTGTGCATCAGCCTGATGGGACCCGGGACATTAAGGGCACACTGTTGCATCACTCTGATCATTACCTGTCACACACAGGCTTGTTAGATTGTACACAAAACACTACCTTATAGCTCAAGTGTCGTTGCAATTCTTATACCCACACTAATGTTAACTGGATTTTGTGTTGCTTTTTTTCAGAGCTGTCTTCTCACTTCTGAGTTTTCCCTGTACCTGGAATATGGGCTTCCTTCTGAACTACATTATTCATGTTGTACAGAGTAATTCTCTTGGGTAAATCTATCCATAACAGAGTTCAGTACTTTACATTTGCAGTTCTTCATTCTACAACTTGCAGGCTGCTATAATTTGTTTCCTCATTCCAAATCTCTTTACGTGACTTTAGCTTCAAATAGGATTTGCCTCCTTTGAAAATCACTGGTGAAGCAGGTATGAATCTTACTCCAAACCCCTGTGTAGGAAATAAACTGGACATTCTCAAGTGCTACCTAGTTTCTGTTTCTAAGATCCATCCTGCTGATTTTCCATCCTGGGAACGTAATCACAGTGGCTTAAAGATTGTACTCACCTCTGATGCCTGGCCCTGACTCATCCGCCAAAACCCTGTTCTGCATTTCATTTGAATCTAGCACAGATTCAAAACAGTGTTCTCTATTTTGATCTCTCATGAGAGATTAAAAACCTTGCCCAAGTGACAGAGAGGTGAGATTGGAACTGAGAAAGCCTGTGTCTGAAGCCTCTGCTTTTACCCACTGCTCTATAGTGTCTCTGTATCAATTTGAAAAAATGACTCTCTGATAAACTCTCCCCATTACCAAACAGGGTTGGGGTTTATCAGGTAGGTTAGTTAGTTAATGGCACAAAAGGATGCTCTATGATCTTGGTATATCAGGGTATTTTACCTGTGAGACCACTCAGGTTTCTTTTGAAGAAAAGATCTGGACCAGAGGGTGAACAGCAACAGCTTGGCACTCTCTTTCCTTGAGTCCCAGGGCCTGATTTGTTCAGTACCAAGTGAGGTCATAGTTACTATGGTGACTCACAATTGCCTTCAGAACCTAGTGCAGATTCAAACACTGGCCACCATCCCTGGTTTCCTTCTGGTTCATGCCTGAATAAGGTGAGTGGAAGTTGCTGGGAGAGGAGGTGAGTATATCCTGTGGCCGGGTGCCATATGCATGTCTTCTTCCTAGACAGAACTTGCCTCAACTATCCTGGCCTCAGAGCTTGTCCCTGGCTCGTATAAAATCCATTAAAATTTCTCCTTTGTGTAAATAAACAGCACCCATTGCATCTTGCCTTGTCCCCTGGGTAGTGATCAGCAACTTTGTCCGCCATGTTCCAATCCAGGAACTAGTTCCAGGTCAAATTTCCTACTTGCTTCTCAATCTTGCATCCATCCTTGGTCATAACTCTGCAAGTACTCCTTCTATAATACGCAATATATGTAAATGGAGTGTTTAGTTGCAGAAATTGAACACTTCAATTAAACATTGCTGTGTCTCCCACACTTATCTAAACCCTCTCAAAGCTCAGTGCAGTGGAGCTTCACACCTTTATTGTGTGGATCTGGGATGCAGGTGGGCTTTTAATGCTTTGGAAAATCTTATGCTAAAACTGGACCAGTTCCTTGAGACATATTCCCTTCCAAGTTTCTGATCTAGACTAACTACATTGTTACCATTACAGTGTGACCCACGTGGGTATTGTCTAGATGCAGGACATGGATTTTCCAGGCTGTCAGAGGGATAACCGTGAGGACAGCGCTTTGTGTTTTTTGTAGTGTGGTTCCCATGAGGAACTAAAATGACTATTATGAGATGTGGCTTGCCTCCTCACTGTCTGCCCAGTCAGTCTTATGTAAGAACTAAGGAAATTGATGTTACTGTAAAGTGACCCAGGTCACACACTCCCTTCCTTGAGTGGCAGGGAAGGAAGGCTCACTCCTCCAGGTTTTCTCCCAGCCCCCATAGAACCATGTAAAGACCCTGAGGCCATGTTCAGTGTTCTAAACAATTTGGAGAGGGAAGATAACTTATTGGTGTAGTTTATTAACAAAGAAAGTGGAAAACTCTTTCTTTTAAGGAGCTGACATCCTAGAAATCCAAGTCAATCACCTAGGAAATAAACCAAGAGAGGCTGATTGACAGAACTTAAATGCATAAAAACTTTGCATACTAGGTCAGGCACAGTGGCTCTCACCTATAATCCCAGCACTTTGGAAGGCTGAGGGGAGTGGATTGCATGAGCCCAGGAGTTCAAGACCTGCAGTTGGCCTTGGGTCATATCCAGCCTGCTCCAACTGTAAGACAAAAAGCCCCTAAGGCAGACGGTCATGGCGATTGCCATAAGCAGCCCTGTAGATGCAAAGATGAGATGTAGCTCTGCAGGGCCAGAGTCTAAATATGTAAGTCAATGTCAGAATCTTTTTGGCACTGACTGTTCCTTAAATAGGTCAATACTCACCGTTTATGAAAATTTTCATTGAACTGGAGCTACATTCCCTTCCTATAGATAGCATGTTTTTAATTTTTGTTTTTAAAGTGACCCAGGTCACACACACCCTTTCTTGAGTGGCAGGTAAGGCAGGCTTGGTCCTCCAGGTTTTCTCCTGGCCACATAGAACCATGTAAAGACCCTGAGGCCATATTCATTGTCTTGAACAATTTGGAGAGGGAAGATAACTTATTGGTGTATTTTATTAACAAAGAAAGTAGAAAACTATCTTTCTCTTAAGGAACTTTGACATCCTAAAAATCCAAGGCAATCACCTAGAAAATAGGCCAGGAGAGACTGATTGACAAAAGTTAAATGTATAAAAACTTTGCACACTAGGTCAGACACAGTGGCTCTTGCCTTTATAGGCACTTTGGAAGGCTGAGGGGAGTGGAGTGCTTCAGCCCAGGAGCTCAAGACCAGCCTGGGCTACATAAGGAGACCCCATCTCTACAATAAAAATAAATGAATACATAAATATGTTAAAAATTTGCAGTCTTCCAATAAATAGAGAATATCATAGATTTAAGCTATCCTATTTACATTGGTTGCAAATATTATGAAATACCTGGAAAAATAATGAAATATAAGGAAAACACACATGCCACTTTTTATGAGCCTTCAGTTTGAATATACACATAATATTTTAAAATACTACATTTTTCTTAAGAGGAAGATCAATTTTTGCAATGGCATCAATTCGCCTCTAATAAAATCAATATATCCAGTACAATCCTAATCATAGCTTGTAGCAGAATTTTGAGTATGTGTGTGTAACTGGAAGATCAGATGAAATTATATTGCAAAAAAATGTGAAGGATTATGCAACAGGGGTAGCTTGTCATTCTGGACTCAAAACTTACTCTGTAGTATTAGTGAATGAAGCAGGAATTGATAGACATGTCCATGGACCAACAAAGAGATTCTAGAAATATATTCATGCGTATGTGGAACTCAAAGAAATTATATACCTGGCATTTAAAAATCACAAGTTGCCACAAAGCTGACTTTTATGATCGTGTGTGTTAGAGAGGAGAAGTGCAGAGAGGCTTTGGGGGCTACTTGATGCTTCTCCTTCAGGTAATTCTAGATTCCATCAACTTTCACAGGTCTCTCTTCTGTGCTGTCTTCCTGAAGCCATCTGTGGAGTCAAGCAGTCATGGCTCAGGCACACTCTGAAGTTGGTCCCAGCACATCTGCACGGAGCATCAGGAGAAAGGCGGACGAATACTTGAGACCCAGCCTGGCCTCTAAATCTGTGCTGAGCGTTTTACTCAGTAGACAGCTTGGGAATCATAGAAACGATGTGGATCTGACAGAGTGGCTGTGGACACTGACACAAACCACACCAGGGTGGACCTGGCCTTTGCCAACACGCCATACAATCAACCCACCTTTGCACCCTGGGGAGGATAGAAAATCCAAGAAAATGGTGTGGATCAATAAATCCTTCCCCTGATGCAACCATTACAAATGGAAGCTGTGTTCTCACTGCTTTTGGTTGTACATGGTCTTTGATCACCTAGTTTCTTGACTTCTGACCAGTCTCTGTGTTACCCGAGGCCACAGCAGATGAACTTTACCTACTCCCCCCTGAGAAGGTGTTTACTAATGTTGTTGAGTCTGGGGGTGTTGGAGCCACGAGGGGCTCTGTTTCGAGAAGGTGGAAGGGCAGCTGAGTGGACACGTGGAGAGGCCCTGCAACCCTAAATTTCTAGGGGGAGGGGCCTTTAAGGAGCCTGCTTAGAGGTCTTGATTTGTCTCCCTTGAAGTTTGGGGGAGAGCGTGGGTAAAAATTGAAATCAAATAAATTTAAAGAGAGTGGCTTGCAGAGTGGGGAGAGAATTCTCGCAAGAGATATACTTCTTTAATTGAGAAAAAAAGAAAGGGAGCTAAAGAGGTAATCAGAAAAGCTCAGGAAATAAAGAATGGTCTTTCAAGTGTTGATGCAAAATAACTTTGAACCTACAATTCTACTTCTAGCCAGACATTCAAGTGTGAGGATAAATTAGCATACAAGGTGTTCAAGTGTGTGTTCCCTGGAAATAGACCCTGAGGCACACTTGTGAGTAGAAAGCACTAACTTTGGAGAGAGTCCCAGACAGCACAGGTAAGGGTGTGGGGAGGTGAGACATACAAGGAATGCAGCCAATTTAAATGGGAGGAATAAGCTAGCAGGTTTCCACTGTGGGCAATTGGAGCTAATTCCCAGGGGGGCCCTATGGGAGACTTTGTAGAACACACATCTCACATTCATCCCAAATGCAGGATGAGATGGCTTGGGGGTATTTAGCCACCAAAGTCGCAATCATACTTATTAAAGTACTTCCCCATGGGAGATATAAATCCCTGTCACCTTCAGTTGGCCTTGGGTCATATCCAGCATGCTCTAAGGGTGAGACAAAAAGCCCCCAAGGCAAAAAGTCATGGCGATTGCCATAAGCAGCCCTATAGATGGAAAGGTGAGACCTAGCTCTGCAGGGCCAGTGTCTAAATACATAAGTCAGTGTCAGAATCTTTTTGGCACTGTCTGTTCCTTAAATAGGTCAATACTCACCATTTGTGAAAGTTTTCATTGAACTGGAGCTACATTTCCTCTCTATAGATAGCATGTTTTAAATGTTTTGTCAATTATCAATTTTAATTGGAAAATGATTGCAGGACCTCTGACCCAGAGAGTTGTGAGATACGTGTTTAGCCATCGAACGAGCATTGTAGACATCAAAATATTCTCCCTGGGGAAAAGAAAGCAGGATTTTTGTAGTGTGTCCTGCCTGTAGATGTGCCATGCTGGATGTTAGGCACAGGTCTCTCCCTGGGATTTCATGGAGATCTTGGGCTGGCTGCTTTATCAGAAACTCTATTCTTGCAATTCAGCCTAGGGGAATCCAAGCTGCAGTGTCTCACCTCTTGCTGAGGGGTTCCTCAGCATGTGGAATTCAAAGAACCTCCTTATCTCCAGGTCTCCCATAGTAGCTGGAACTTTATTCATGTCCCTATCATTACTTTCTCTATGGAACGGGGTGAATTGCTGGTTAGCTTGCTCCCACCCACCTATGCCCATCCAGGCCCACGCTCAGCACACCGTCCCCATAGTGGGTGCCCCTGTCCCCAGAGATTCTTGGAAATGCTGTTCTGGGTGGTGACTCCATTTCAGCACTGATATAGCCACTGGCTGCAAGAGATGGCCTTCTCAAGCTTGTGTTGGGAGTCTAGTAATGAATCCTTTTTGTCACAGTTCAGATGGAACTCGCAATGCCCAGCTCCACTGGTGTTGCTTTTCACCTTTCTTCTGTCTCCAATACTCTTCCCTTTGTTTGCAAGCCTCTCAATATTTCACCATTTTGTTCCAGTGTCACTGCACACAGTTATGCATACTGGTGTGTGTGTGTGTGTGTGTCTGGGTAGAAGCCTCTGGAAGAGCCCAGTGGTTGAGTTGGGACGGTTATGGGAGCTACAGACACCAGGTGCTCTGGGGCTGGCCAGGGGCTTGGGTGGGGAAGTGCAGTTATGGGAGTGGGGCTGGGGTCAAGCAGGTGTAACACCCTGCAAAGCAGCTCTTGGTGAGTCTGTCAGGGGAAGGGGATAGGCGTCTAGTGGGAAGGAGTGGGATGGGAGTAAGGGCAGCATCTATAGTGCTGAACTTTCCAGGAAGAAAGAATCAAATTCTCTATGCATGCAAAATATTTCAAAATTTGAAAGTTGAAGGGTAACTTAAAAAAAAAAATAAAAGCCTGGGATTAGGCCAAAGTCAAAACATTGTGATGAGGCTCGTAAGTTCTCCTGGGAGTCTATAGATGAACATTTCTAAGATTGCTTGAATGGGTCCTGGGTTAGACAAATAAGTTAATGGATGTGTGATGGTAGAAGCCACATTTCTCACTCTTGGTGAGGAAAGTTAGTTGAGTGAATGAGACAGCTACAATGACTCATGTGATAAGAGATTAGAGTTGGAGAGATTGGTATGAACTCATGCTTATGTTAATATAGATAAAGAAGGGTAGATGTAGAAACATTTATAGGTATGTGTGTACACAAGATATATTAGTGTCCTATTGCTGCTGTAACAAATTTCCACAAATGTAGTGGCTTTAAACAAACAAAAATTTCTTTTAGAGTCTGGAGGTCAGAGGTCTAACATCAGGTTGCTGGTTAGGGCTATGTTCCTTCTGGAGGCTTCAGGGCAGAGTTCAATTCCTTGCTTTTTTCAGCTTCTAGGACCGGCCTGGCTTCCTTGTTTCATTATTCCTTCCTGGCATCACTCCAACTTCTTTCCATAGTAATGTCTCCTACTATGCACTCTGATCCCTCTGCCTCCCTCTTAAAAGTCTCTGTGGTTCATGTATTTGGGGATCGAAGAAGGAAGAGAAGAGACTGTGAAAGACAGTCGCACAGAAGCTATACCGGGACCGTGCTTGGACTGGGTTGTATGACAGGCAAAGTCTCTGCAAGACACCTTCCAGGGACAGCAGCATGGGGCCACCACCCAGAAGGGTATGAGGGCAAGGGAATTTCTGAGAAAGAGGAGGAAACCAGAGAAGGGGCTTACGTGAGTAGGTGATGTCATCAGCAGCAAGGTGGGGAGTTCTCTGGGTCACAGAGCTTTGAAGGCCAGCAGTGATTTGGGGGTCTTTTATAGCTATTGAGTTTGTCTTTTCTATAGTAAGTGGATGTGGGGAGCAGTTTTGTGAGAAATGGAAAATAGCTACGTTCTAAAGGACTTAAAAATACGTTTTCAGATTATATTTAAAGAGACTGAATATATGAGAATGTGAGTTTGGGACCAGTGGGCTTTGGGGCAATAGTCCTAGCCTGCTGTGAAGAAGTAAACAACATGGGGATCATTTTAAGCCAATAGACAGGGTGCATTTCTGGCTCATTTGTAGAACATGACTCTTGTGATTATATGAGGCCCACTCCCATAATCTGGGATAATCTCCTCATGTCACGATCTTTAACTTAATCATATTTGAAACGTTCCTTTTTCGTGTAAGGTAACATATTCACAGGTTATGGGGATTGTGAAGTAGACATCATTGGGGGATCACTATTTACCTACCACGCATGAGTCAGCTTGCATGCACATGATTTCTTCCTCTGTCGGCTGAGAGAGCCAAGAAGCAATGACAACCAAGTAGTAATGAGCACACCTAGAGCCCAAACCTTGGTTTCTAATGTCATCCAACAATAAAAGGAACCAGGACTCTTTGGCTAAATGACTGATTCCAAGGCTGAGCCTGGGATTGTACAACATGAGCCTGGAGAATCTTGTAATGTCAGTAAGCACACACATAAACACACACACAATGATGGGAGTATGGCAAAGAGACACAGGAGCCTGCTGAAAGTGTTCCCAATGGCTAAAGCTGGAGCAAGCTGAGCAACAGAACAGATACAGTGCTTTTGGATTATAACTTGAAATACAAAATAAATATCCATGAGTCCATACTGATATAAATAAATAGGGAGAAGAGACAAATCTCCTTTGCAGAATAATTCCAATTTTTTACAGATATTTTATCCAAGATAAGGTAGAAAAGAACTCTCCCCTCCTTAATCATATGCTGTCCATAGTAACCTCCCTCCAAAGAGTAGAATATGGTAAGGCAGAAAAACATACCTTTACTGCTGAGAAAGCTGATACACACTACCTCAGCCAGGTGACCAAAGTTGAACTTAACTGTCATGTCATGTGGATTGTATGCTCTCTTGATAAGGGGTGATGAGAATGGTACTTTCTTTCTTGGTCTTCCTCTCAAAAACCTGTAACCCCAGTGTCATCATGAGAAAATCACCTGGCAAATCCCAGTTGAAAGACATTCTACAAAATACCTGGCCAGTAGTCCTCAAAGTTGTCAAGAGTCATCGGAAACAAGGGAAGTCTGAGAAACTATCACAACCAAGAACACCCTAAGATGGCATGATTATTAAATATAATGTAGCATCCTGGATGTGAGGTTGAAACAGAAAAAGGACATTTGATTAAAATGGTGGAAATCTGAATAAAGTGAGGACTTTGGGTCATAGTAATGTATTAGGATCAATTAACTAACTGTAACAAATGTACCACTTTAGTGCAAGATGCATAGGGGAAACTGGGTGAGGGATATGAGGGACCTCTCTGTACTATCTTCATAACTTTTGTATAAATATAAATCTCTTTTAAGGTAAAATGTCTAGATAAAACAAGCAACAACAACAAGGCCACTGCCAAATCTAGTCTGAAGACAACAAAACAAGAACATTACCAAAGTCACAAAAGGCACCAAACACCTGCCATCCTGGCTGATATGAGTGACTACTCCTTCTGTGCCAACAATAGCTTTTTTCAAATCTTCATTTCTCTAGGATAAGGTTTACAAATATACCCAGTCACAAAATTACCCCCTACTTCCTGACAGCATCCAATCCAGAGCCAAACCCTACTTCAGGAAACCCTCCTCTAAATCACCTAGCTGAAGCCCAGATTTTATG